ACTATTTACAATAGCTAAGACATGGAAGCAACCTGCTGCTGCTGCTGCTAAGTCTCTTCAGTCGTGTCCGACTCTGTGCGACCCCATAGACGGCAGCCCACCAGGCTCCCCGGTCCCTGGGATTCTCCAGGTAAGAACACTGGAGTGGATTGCCATTTCCTTCTCCAATGCATGAAAGTGAAAAGTGAAAGTGAAGTCTCTCAGTCATGACTGACTCTTCGAGAACCCATGGAATGCAGCCTACCAGGCTCCTCCGTCCATGGAATTTTCCCGGCAAGAGTCCTGGAGTGGGGTGCCATTGCCTTCTCTGCAATGAGATATTACTCAGCCATAAAAAAAAGAATGAATTAATGCCATTTGCATTATTCTATTATGGATGGAACTAGAGCTAATCATACTAAGTAAGCCAGACAAAGACAAATATCATATGACATTGCTTATATGTGGAATGTAAAAAGTGATACAAACCAACTTTTTAGCAAACCAGAAATAGTCTCACAGACATAGAAAACCAACTTATGGTTACCAAGGAGGGAAGGAGGAGGAGGGATTAATTAGGAGTTTGAGACTGAAATATACACACTCCTATGTATAAGATAGATAGCCGACAAGGACCCAGTGTATGCCACAGGGACCTGTATTCAGTATGTTGTAATAATCTGTATTATACTATTATTATTAAAGAATCATGTCTGACTTTGTGACCCCATGGACTGTATAGTCCATGGAATTCTCCAGGCCAGAATACTGGAGTGGGTCACCCTTCCATTCTCCAGGGGACCTTCCCGACCCAGGAAGTGAACTCAGGTCTCCCGCACTGCAGGTGAATTCTTTACCAGCTGAATCACAAGGAAGTCCAGTAACCTATAATTAAAAATACTGTATATGTATAAATGAATCAGTTTGCAGTACACCTGAGGCTATTGACAGCACTGTAAATCAAATAGATCAATAAAAACTTGTACAAAAAAGTTACTGGTACCCACTATATCTAGATCCTCTCTTTTCACCTGTTGTAGCCATGCGCTCCGGGAAACAAACTCACTCAGAAGGACAATGCAGATAGTGGAGTGCAATTGTTATACCAGCGTGCCCAAGACAGAGTCTCCTCTTAGCCAAGGACTCCAACCAGTTTTTGTGAAAACCTTATATACCCTAAGTGTATGCGCCCAAACCCACCTCTCCAAATTCCCTGAAACTAGTCTGAATAAAGGAAAAGAAAGATACAATCAAAATTAACCTGTGATTCATATGCCTTAAGCCTAAGTAGTTAACAGTGGACAATTATCAATAGGCCCCAGTGGTCATACCCCAATAAGCATATTAGAATGTATGATTCTATTCGGCTACACAGATAATTAGGGTATTCTTTTAGGCGATGGAGAGCCCTGGGGCTCTTCCTTCTGGGGGCCTGGTTTTCCAGTTGGTATGTTGTTTCCATAGATACGGGGCATATAGCTTGAAGTTCGTAGTGTGCCAGAGATGGAGTCCTGCTTTCAAGATAGAGCCTGTTCTGTCTCCTCCTTTATACCCTCTTTTGTTCCAATATCAGTAGGCTTCCAATCCCATGTCTCCACCACATGCAACTCTTACTAAGTTTACCAATATTTGCCATTTTGCTGAATTCTCATCTTATTTGGTTAGCTTTCTGAGATTGTGGGTTTTGTTTTGGAGCTGTGAGATTATAGTTCTTAGATCTGTATGCCCTCTGATGGATGAGGATAGGAGGCTCTGCTGAAGAATTAATGTTTTTGAATTGTGCTGAAGAAGACTCTTGGACGTCCCTTGGACCACAAGGAGATCAGACCTGTCAATTCTAAATGAAAACAACCCTTCATTGGAAGGACTGATACTGAAGCTGAAACTAATAATTTGGCCATGTGATGTGAAAAGCCAACTCATTGGAAAAGATTGCTGAGAAAGATTGAGGGCACGAGAAGAGGAGGGTGGCAAAGGATGAGATGGTTAGATAACATCACTGACTAAATGGACATGGGTTTGAGCAAACTCTGGGAGACAGTGAAGGGCAGGGAAGCCTGGCATGCTGCAGTCCGTGGGGTTGCAGAGTTGGACATGGCTTAGCAACTGAACAACATCTCATTTGACAGATTTTTAAAAACAGGTCACTGAGACCTTCTTTTACATGATTTCAAGAGCAGTGCTCTCTCTTGATACTAGTTCTACCTCTCTGGCCATTCCTAAGTATCAGGGTGCTTGATATCGTCTACATATCAAGCTATACATTTTTGCTTTTTTATCTACACTCCTTCCCTTTGGAATATGATCTAGTCTCAATGCTTGACGAATTCCATCCTTCTTATTAGTTTAGTCAAGAACTTTATATTCATCTCTGATAGCTTTTTGAAACCAAGCTATATGGAGTTCCTGTTGACTACTTTATATATACAATGAAAATCTAGAAATTGATCACCCTTCACAACCACCATCCTTAAAGCCAACATAATCTCTTGCCTGAGTTACTGCTATAACCTCCTTCTACCTGGTCTCCACTTTTGCCTTTGTCCCCCTACAATTATTTAGCCATAATATGTTAGCCAAATATGTTAGCCATATTAATCCTCTGTGTAAAATATTCCAGTGGTTTCTTGTGAGATTCTGAGTAAAACTCAAAGTCTTCTGAAGCCTCTTATGGACTAGTTCATTCTAGCAGAAGTTTAATCACTGTCTGTAACTGCCTTACCAATCGTTCTTACTGTGATCCCCTCCTCAGATTAAGAAATTCTCACTGCTTTCTTTTTTAAAAACACAGGTTCTACTTTCCAATCCTAATCAACCATTTTTATTAAATTGACATTTTTGAGCATCTATTATGGATGGATAAAGATGAATAAAACATTTCCTGCCCTTGAGGAGTTTTTACATTTGGGGAAAAGACAAAAATGCAATGAATAATTACGGAGAAAGAACTATTGTTGAGTGTGTGCACAGAACACTGGGGGGAGGAGCAATCCATTAAAGTTACATAATGTAGAACATAGACAATCTCAGAGAAATAACATTTGTTCTGGCTAATGGGAGGTGAGCCCTGTTCTTTGAATTGTTTCCAAGTTTTCCATACTCCTTTAGTCATAATAATGGATGCTGCCAAAGGCAATATGCTGGCATTTATATACAGAGATGATTATCTTTGGTCTCTTTTCCAATAATGGCCCCAGATCTCTTCCAGCTCCAGATCTTTTTTGTTGCCTCTTACGATTGAGTGGCACAAGTTTGCATTGTGGTCAGTGGAATAGAATGAAAATAAAGTCTGTAGCCCCAGGTTTCTTATTTTGAACCAGAGATTCTCACATGATATGTGCAAAAATACTCCCCTTGCCCCTTTAAGGCCCACTCGCATTGGTGACAGTAAGGTTCTGTGCATATGCTGGCCTGATAATGATTATTGCACAGATTTTGCATTCACCTGAATAAAGCATATTGCAGTACAAATGAGTGAGAGTACGTGACAGGTGTATCTGCTCTAAGTTATTAAAAAGTAGCCACTCCTAAACTATAACACCTTATTATTATTAATAAATTACTTGTAACACATGTCTGAAGTGATCAAGATAAATTACCAGGCTACAATAGCATGGTTTTAAACCATCATTATATTCAGTGGGTGCTCTGAACTTGCAGAAGAGGTAAGGCTCTTTTATGATTCCAGAATTCATGTTGATCTTTTAAAAAGTAGCACAGTACATTGACAAGACCATAACATTTACACTCAAAGGACTTCAGTGTCTGGGTCTATGTTCCAAGATGTATCAGTTATATAATATTAAACAACCCACTTAAGAATACCGAGCTTCAATTTAATTATGTATACCATGGGATTGTGTAAACAGCAAAACACCAACGGTGTTGAGTTATTATTATTACAACAGCAGTATCAATGCACAATGCTTGTGTGTTTCTATTTGGCCCTTATCTCTTTCATTTTCTTTCCTGAATACAAGTAGCTCTGCGGTAACATCTACAGCTTGCTTTTTCTGGTTCAACATGAGCTTGTCTGGTGCATGGGGAATTTTACAATTGGATAGTCAGGATACAGTATGTGATCAGGGGACTGCTGAATTACCTAGAGGATTTTGCAGTGTTGAGTTCCTCATTATTTCTAGGGGATTTTCTGTTTTTTTAAATCTATGGGTGTCGTAAATGAAAAAGGCTGATTATGATTTCTAAAGAGAAATGGGAAAAGATGGGAGAAAAAGGCAGCAGGGGAAATAAAACATCTTTAAACAGTATGAGAACAATGTTCCCTGGAGAGGAACTTTGAGCTGATGGCATAGGTTTGTGCTTAGATGGCTCCATACTGCTCAGAGGGAAAAGAGGGATCAGCTACACCCTTGCTACCGGGGGTCCACTAGGAGGCAGTACAATGACTGAGGTTCTTGTACACTGCTCCCCTGGTCCAGGGAGAGCTGCTTCAAGAACAGCCAGTGTAAGAACAGGGTTTTCAGAGTCTGGAGCTTCAGGTTGAGACTGGTAGCTGCACAGGACTATTCTGTTCATTAATTCCATAAATATTTATTTAGTGCCTGCTATGTGATGGAAATGTTTTATTGTTTAGTCACTAAGTCATGTCTGACTCTTTTGCGACCCAATGGACTGTAGCCCACAGGCTCTTCTGTCCATGGGATTCTCCAGGCAAGAATACTGGAGTTGGGTTGCTATTTCCTTCTCCAGGGGGGGTCTTCCTGATCCAGCCTTGAACCTGGGTCTCCTGTATTGACAGACGAATTCTTTACCACTGAGCCACCAGAGAAGCCCATGTGATAGGAAAGGCAGTAAACAAAACACATAACTATCCTGTCCTTAGGAAACTTACATACAGAGAAGTATAAGCATTTGTGTGAATAAAAATTCTTGATGAGTTCACTGGATTTTTACTCTTTCCTTTCCCCTTACTGAATGTTTGAATTGTCAATATAATAACCTGAGCATTCTCATTGTTTTTCTGTTTATACAGCTTGCCATATTGAAGGCGCTTTGGTGCAATGGAAAAAGGACCAAACTGGGAATCAGACCATGTAGACACCATCTCATCAACCACCAACCAGGTATGTTACTTCGGTTATCACACACTCAAGAGTCTAGAGAGAGGTGGATTTTGATCATTTATATGGGCTTCTCTCATGGTTCAGCTGGTAAAGAACCTGCTTGCAATGCGGAAGACCTGAGTTTGATCCCTGGGTTGGGAAGATCCCCTGGAGAAGGGAAAAGCTACCCACTCCAGTATTCTGGCCTGGAGAATTTCATGGACTGTAAAGTCCATGGGGTCGCAAATAGTCGGACACGACGGAGCGACTTTCACACTTCACAGCCCTTCCTTTGTTCCCAGTCTGTATGATTCATACTCTGTTAAGCAAAGGGAAGGAAATTCTCTTCTCCAGAATTAACTTCAACATAGAATCATGCCACCTTTTGTAGCTTGCTCTCATTTCTCTGAAGCATGAATGGTGGGCACCCAGACTTTGTTCCATCAGACCTTTGATCTGAGATCAGGATGTGCCACTCTGAGAATAATCTGTCAGGAAATTAAAACAAAAGACTATTCAGTGTTTCTCTGTGGTGGGCTCCTCCATCTTGTTTGGAATCAGGTGTCTTGGCTAATGAAAGTCCAAGCATTTTCTGTGTCTTACGGTAATAATAAGAATGAACTGGGCTCAAATACTTAAAATAGATATTAGATGTCCCAGTATCTATTTCTCCTTTTTCTTTAGTAATGGAGCCTCTAAACAATAGCTGGGCACGTGTCTATTCAAAATTGAGGCAGTCTTGCAGTTGTGAGTGGCTATATGACCAAGATCTGGTAAAGCAGATGTGATGTGAACAACTTTGAAGTAGTATTTTTAAAGAAAGAGCATGCTCTTTTTCTCCACATCACTGCCCAACATTCCCATGCTGGAAAGAGGCAAGAGTGGACATAGTGGTGAGCCCTCTTCAACTGTAGACAGGCAATGTTCTAATGAGTGATAAGGCAACATTAAGGAAGGGTTTGGGTCTCCAACTTCATGGAGATGCCACACTAGCTTGGGACTACCTTTACAGATCTTAGTTTCTTTGTTAAATCAGTGAACTTTTATGGTCTTTTTGTTAATACAAAAATAAATGGTTCAAGTAATAAATGGACATAAAAATGTTATATTGTCAATAACTTCCTTTGACCTATTCTGAAATGGTAACTAAACCAATTCAGCAATATTCTATGTAAAAAGTATTTATGTGTATGTACATATACCTCTAGATTAATATATCCCTGTTTACCAGGAGAATGGGTGGTATTTTAGAAATGACCACTAGGAGTGTATTTTTGGAAAGAATTCATTCCTTTTCTTTGTTATTTTCTTTGGAATGAACATTTTTAAAAGGATGAAAAAAGGAAATATAAGATTGAGTAGTCACACAAGTTATAGGTTCTAAATTGTGATATTGTGAGTCTGTCATTAATAGTAACTTTGTTACAATCCATGATCACAGAAAGTCAAAGTTAAACAGAAGAGGGATGAAAAATGCATAGAGAAGGTGAAAATCATTGTGTTGTGGACATTCCAGCATTGAATTTCCTGATTTTAGACATTTATTTTTTTCAGCAATAATAATGCATCCATGCTTGCATCTGCTTGCCAAATTTATTAAAAGGTTGTTTGTGAACAAACAAGAATAATCCAGCCCCTCAAAATTAACTACATAATATCTTGATGAAGATTTTAAAACAGTTTGGCGAGCATTTTTTCTGCTTAGGAGTGATGTCGCTGTGAAATGTGAGGATAACACTTCATGTGTTACTATTTGTTGTGAAGTGATTTAATAAACGTTTAAATAAGTCATTACCATGTTGACAGCGTTTCTTATCATGGAGCTGTGATTTTGGTATTGATTGTCATGCCAGCCTTCTCACCTCCATCACCTCCATCCTCTGCCCTAAACACGTGAGGACATAGAAGCGTGACCCTCAGCGAGTGCTAACAGACTGTATTAGTTATGGATGTCTGTTCTTGAGTCTTCTCTTCTGTGTCAAAGAGGGAGACTACTTTATTTTCTACACTGAGGTGGTAGGGTGGCATGTATGGAAGGGATAGTATTTAGTACATACTCGTCTGCTAGGAAAGCATCAGGCTGGTATCTCTGGAGAATAAGAGTCTTGTTCTTATACTAGTGTCCTCAGAAGAAGCAGCATCCAGGAAGCTCTTCTCAACTTGTCAAAGAGGTTTCCGTGAGACTCAATTAGAATTAAATTATATCTGTGACATTCATTTCTTGAGTGATAATTATTGAGCACCTCAATAAATAAGGAGTTAAATAATAATAAATAAGGAGTTTATTTATTGACTAATAAATAAGGAGTTAAACAGGTGTTATTTCTGTCTTCTTAAAGCATATAAGTCAAATGATGAATCTGCATCCTTGTTTTCAGCTTCTTATGATGTGTGTTTTTGCTGACTGGTCCTCAGACTGCTCTACCAAGACCTTTCTCCCATGAGTTTCCTCAAGCAGAAAAGCGAGCTTGACCTGAGTATGGTGTAGTACCCACAGTTATAGTCTTGGAGATGGAAAGTCTCTTACTTCATCTGATGCTTACTTTTTTTTGAAGAGAGACTCTTAAGTGGATGGCCCTTTAATTCCTGCTCCATTAAAGGCCCTTTAATACCTTTTCTAAAAGGTATCTTGCCAGATCTTATAAAATTTCTTACAATATAAATTTAGTATTTTCCAACTTATATATATGATAATAAAAGGAAATGAGGTCAGTATGGCACTCTTTGCTGTTAATGGACCCTTGTTCAATCCTAGCAATTACCTAATTCTTCCTCAGTTCTAGCAACTGAAGAAAATATTTCAAAAACTTGTTTGGTGACAAGACTTTCCAGCATAGATTTTCTTCAATATCTGCCCTTTTTCCCTGTCATGAAGCAGTGCAGTTGCTTATCTCAAGTTTTCTGTCATCTTTCCCATTCTCCCTGTAACTTTGAAACTACTCTTTAAGGATTCTTTTCTAAGTCACATATGTTGTCTTTCCTATTGGAATGTTTCTATAGTATCATGGCCTTTTTCTCCATTCTCTTTGGCCAGCAAGTTGACATATAGACTTGTCTTATGTTGTCCAAGGAAACATCTTTACTTTAAAATAACTGTTCTCAACTAGATGTGATTTTGTGCCCCCGGGGTTCATTTGACAATGTCTGCCAACATTTTGGGTTGTCACAACTGAGGGAGGAGGTGTGACTGAGTAGAGGTCAAAGACACTTGATAAACCTCTTGGCGTGCACAGGATTTCACCTCACAACAAAGCATTATTCGTCCCAAAATGTCAGTAGTGTTGAGCTTGAGATAATTTGATTTAAACCAGTTAAAACACTTATTTATTTTTATTAAGATGTTTTCTTAAAGCTATTCTTTCCTGTGTCCCATTTACACCCAGTGAGAGAAACTGCTGGTGATTGTTGTATTTTAGTGTGCTTTCTTTCCTCGCTGCTCTGTTCTTTCATAAGCATTGGAACATTTACCTCAGGTAAGCATTCTAGGTAATATGAAGATAAATCTTCACCTCTGACTTCATAGTTAGAAAGTATTTGTGAACTGAAATAATTATACTGCTACTGCTAAGTCACTTCAGTCGTGTCCGACTCTGTGTGATCCCATAGACGAAAGCCCACCAGGCTCCGCCGTCCCTGGGATTCTCCAGTCAAGAACACTGGAGTGGGTTGCCATTTCCTTCTCCAATGCATGAAAGTGAGAAGTGAAAGTAAAGTCACTCAGTCATGTCTGACTCTTAGCAACTCCATGGACTGCAGCCTACCAGGCTCCTCCGTCCATGGGATTTTCCAGGCAAGAGTACTGGAGTGGTGTGCCATTGCCTTCTCCGAAATAGTTATAGTTAAAGGTAAAACTGAGTAATCATGGCAGAGCAGACAAAAATACCACAGTAAATTGGAAGAATTGACTATTTCTGGCTTGAGGGATGTTGACGATATAATGGAGTTGATGGCATTGGAACCGAGTTTTAAAGGATAATCCTGATTTGAACATGCTAAGGGAAGGGGACAGTCAGAAAGAGAGAAAGCACATGGAACCAAGGCAGGCTCAACAAAGGACTGCCCATGGTGGGCAAGCTTAACTTGAGGTAGAGTGCATGGAAGATGTGTTCGGGAAGTTCTTCATTCCCTTGTGTGTGTGTATGTTAGTTGCTCAGAAGCGTCTAACTCTTTGTGACCCCTTGGACTTGTGGCCCACCAGGCACCTTTGTCCTTGGAATTCTCCAGGCAAGAATACTGGAGTTGGTAGCCATTCCCTTCACCAGGGATCTTCCTGCCCCAGGGATTGAATCTAAGTCTCCTGAACTGCAGGCAGATTCTTTACCATCTGAGCCACCAGGGAAGCCTATATTAGGCCCACATTGTTTTTTTGTTTTGAAAATATACACATTGGGATCATTATAACAGTTTTTTTTTTACTTTTCTGAGCAGAAATTATGTCAAATCTTTGTGTTGTATATTGACCAAATCAGAACTTTCAATTACAATCTGAAACTGTTTGGTGTTGGCTTCAATCTCCATGAGTATTTTCACTGTTTTTCCATAAGCTGATGTTCTTCATAATCAGCAGGCAGAATTTTTTTCTTCAATTTTGAGTCTGAAAATTCACCTTGAATATGCACATTCTCACAGCTCCAGGGGTCACAATAACCTGAAAATGCATAATTTAGAAGAGGTTTCAGTGATTCATTCCTACAGTTTGGAGTGAAAATAAATTCTAGCCTGAGATAATAAAATTTGATACAGGGCATCTTTGGAAATATCCATAGAAATGTAGCAGTACATGGAGGGGCAGTATACAACTTTCTTCCTGTGGCCCATGAGGTCATCGAATTTCCCCAGCCTGAGGCAGGAGAGACTTGATTTAAACTGCTGATTCCTAGGCCCCTTTCTATACTGAATATATTGCATTAGAATGGGGAACGATGCAAGAGGGAATTTTCTTTTTGAATTTTTTTCCTTCATGCAAGTGCTTTAGGTAATGCTTGTGACACCAAAGTTTAAAATCTACTGTTCTAGAAGCT